GCCATTGATCTGTGGGCCGTGGGTTGCATTTTCGCAGAACTGCTTTCTCTTCGCCCCATCTTTAAGGGCGAGGAGGCAAAGATGGACAGTAAGAAAACGGTCCCCTTTCAGAGGAACCAAATGCAGAAAATTGTCGACATCATGGGCATTCCCACCCGCAGCAGGTGGCCGCTGCTGCCCATGATGCCAGAGTTTAACCAACTCAACACATTGCAATCACCGCCCTCTCACCACAGCCACCACCACCATCATCACCAACACCACAGCCACTCCTCCAGCGGCAGTTCCACGTCCAACCTCGAAAAATGGTACTATAACACCATTTCTAACGCTCCTCAGAGCGCGTCATCGGGTCCGTCATTAACATCCCTCGGCGCCGAGGGATACAAGCTCCTCGCTGGACTCTTGGAATACGATCCCACCAAACGACTCACGGCTGCACAGGCACTTCAGTCTACATTCTTCACTACCGGCGACCGCGTCAATACCAACGCTTTTGAGGGTCTCAAGGTGGAATATCCCCATCGGAGAGTCAGTCAAGATGACAACGACATTCGCACAAGCAGTCTCCCAGGCACCAAGAGGAGCGGATTACCAGATGACTCCTTGCTGCGACCTCCTAAACGTGTCAAGGAGTAGGGCTTGCCATTGGGTATTGATAGGAGGCGAAATCAACAAGGCGACAAGTCACCGGGGGCCCTAGAGGGTGAGGCGGTCTACGCAGCCAATACATATGCTTTACCACGGACAGGGTTACAAGACATTGGTCAATCATGTAATGAGATATTCGCACACCAGAGATTCAAAGACGTGTGTTTTCAACAGACTATATCCATACCACCAGCGCCCGAGAACGCTGCTCTCGACCGGGAAGCTACTTTGGAAGATGCCGCAACAATTACCTTTGCACCTCGGACCGCGCCACAAGTGTTCGCTGCTCCTTTGCAGCCAGCATAGTGCCATGCGACTGCTGCTCCTGGTCCCAGCGCCCTGCCCATTGCCCCCAAGAGGAATCCTTGGGCTCAAAGTATAAGCATACGGCAGACCAAGCCGATGCTCCACGGTAGGGCATCAACATCGCATATTCCCCAGCTTAGGCGCGGTGTACGGATCGTCCTGCAACTTCTACTGGACCTCTATCCAACTAGACCTGGGGAGGCGGATCTATTTGGACCCAATACTGGCCCAACGGCGGCATAGCGGCCAACAAGGCGCCAATCATCCGCAGTCAAGAAACAGCATCAACTAGACCGAAGTGGGGATGATCAGCCCGCACGTAACGAGTATTATATCGATGTATTAAATCTGACGCGCCGTTTGTATCGTTCATGCGGGCCAGTCACCATGTCCGGCGGCGGTGGCGACGCAACTCTGTTTGAGGAGAGCTTCACGGTCACCGACTATGATCAATCCAAATACGATTGTGATGCCCGTATTTCCTGTACATTGCGTCAGCCCAACCATGTTCTTCCAAAGGCATGATCAAGGGGCTCAGATTCAGGCGGGCACACATATGGACCTTGCAGCGCATTCCTCGACGTTCTCCAAAACACTGCATATTCTCACGAACCAGGCACCCATTCAGACCGGGGGTATCCCCGACCAGCGCTACTGTCGCGTTTATTCGTCCATGGGCGTCTGCTCTCAATTTTCACCAGCCGGATCTCGTTGGATCCAGCCATCTGCGCCCGAGGACTTGTATTTTAAAGCATGTGATGGGAAGCATTTTGTAGCATAGCTCAGGTACTGGGAAAATAGCCGGGTAGCATCTGCAACAAGTCATTAAAAATGGATACAAGCAGGGTCAAACTGTATTTGCTTTTGTCTGCCCGTGATGGCCGTGTTTCACGTGTACGTACACCAAGGCAGGATACGTAGAGCGGCATGGGTTCCAAAACATGCCTGATGAGACAAGACAGACCGTACGTATCACGATTCACATGGGAGCATAAACTCAGACATTGAGTCGGACAAATCACGTGTAGCAGACAGCCATTTTCATCACCGTTGTATTGGTCCTCCTCCTCCCATTATTGTATATGTATTCGTTACAACGCTCTCTCTGCCAACAGGTACATGTCGCTCTTTGAATTCCACATTTCCTCCGCCCGGCTAGGGTATTCGTACAAAAGAAACAAACGGATTACATGCGACAAATAAACAAGGGCAAAAGCAAGAATTAATAATCGTCAAGGAATAGAGTACAGAGTTCTGACCAGCCCGCCGCTTGATGGATCGCGTGGGTTGGGGGGCCAGGTGCGAATCGTCTTCCTTCCGGCATGACGAATGCCACGGTGACGACACATATCGCTGTGGCGTGCACCTGTGTGCCTTTGGCTTCACAGCAGGGCGCAAGGCGAACTGCGAGTGCCGGCTCGGGCTGCTATAGATGTGATGGTTGACGTTTGTGTAGTTGCTTCGTGGTGTTTACTTCTTTGCCGGGGCGGGAGGGGACTTGACGTTGGTGGACAGCCAGCCTAGGCCTTCGAGGAGGCCTTCGCCGGTGGTGGCGCAGCTGGGCACGACGTACCAGGCCTTGTCTTTGATCTTGGAGAGCTCGAGGGCTTCTGTGACTTGTTTCGGGTCCATTGCTGTATCGTGTTAGCTTTTGGGCTCCTCGCTTCGCTCGATCATGGCTGGAGCTTGGGTTTGGCTCCTCGCTTTCGCTCGCTCATGGCTGAAGCTTGTTTTTGGCTCCTCGCTTCGCTCAATCATGGCTAGAGCTTAGGTTTGACTCTTCGCTTCGCCCGATCAAGTCGCAAACTTGAATCAACTGCCCATGCGCAAACGCGGGCACGAGGAAAGCGTACGTACCGTCATTGAGATCCTGCTTGTTGGCAAAGACCAGCAACAAGCTGTCCTTCATTTCGCGGTCGTTGATAATGCGGTGCAGCTCCTGCTTAGCCTCCTCCATGCGGCCGCGGTCCGACGAGTCGATGACAAAGATTAAGCCCTGGGTTCCTGCATCCAAGTCAGTCTCAAGTCCTGCTTAGGGCCTCGCTTCGCTCCATCGGCGTAGCATAGAGTTCGCACTCCTTTTCAAGCCTCGCGCCATCGCCGCACGCAATTCACCCATCCTCCAGCACGCACACGCCTCCCTCAAAATCGAGCGCAGCGAGGAAAAGAAAAAAAGAAAACGTACCAGAGTAGTAGTGCCTCCACAAGGGACGAATCTTATCCTGGCCACCCACATCCCACACGTTAAACTTGACATTCTTGTACGTGACCGACTCGACGTTGAAGCCGACGGTGGGAATGGTGGTCACGTCCTGCCCCAGCTTGAGCTTGTACAAAATGGTCGTCTTGCCCGCGGCGTCGAGCCCCAGCATCAGCAGCCGCATCTCCTTGGCCCCAAACAGCCGGCCCATGACCTTGGAGAATTGTCCGCCCATGGTTGGCAAAAAGTCCCCCCTCTCCCGGTGCAGCGTCTGTCCAGGCCCGGGGCAGCAAAGGAGGAAGAGAGGCAAAGCACGAAAGCCTGTCGGGTGTGTGTGTATTCGTGGGACGTACGCGCGTGCCAGCAAGCCGAGTTGACGCGAGGGAGGCGGTTCGAAATGCGTCGCTGGAAAGCCACGAGGGAGCACAGGGGGCGGTTGGAAAGGTCGTGAAAAAGGGTCGCGAGACCAGACTGGAGGGTTTTGGTGGTTACAGTGGCTCCCACGTCTCCATTTGATGTTCCTGTTTTTTGGGGGGGGCACTGGGGGCACGCGGGTACCTGGCAGACCATGTAACGACATATACTCCGTACCTTTGTACCAGCCCTTATTTGAGTGTGTGGAGGTGCAGGTTATGTAGCGAACCCACTTTCCTGCGATACATTCAGATGCTTTGATTATTTAATTTAATCATAGTATAATAGTGTATTTTTATACATATTTAAAGATAATTAATACTTATATTCCTGTACTCTTTATTAAGAAAAATAAGTATCTTTTGATAATTAGCTTCTTATTGGCCCGCATCCCAGTCCGCTACAAAAGCTGCACCTTCGCACACTCAATGGGATTCGGCCTGGTGGGGAGGGGAGACAGAGGAGGGGGGGAAGGGTTGCCCCTGTCCGTCAACTTTGGCTTTGGATGAAACGTGCCCCAGATGAGAGGGAAAGCGCAAAAGCGCACGACACATGCTTTTCGCCTCGTGTCGATTCGGAAACAAGATCAAAACATGTTGAAAATCAAAATAAACAAATGCAACGGCAATGTCACAGTCGCAGTCACAGTCGCATCACAGCCAGCCGCGGCGGCGGGTTCCAAGCCCTCGGGTCCGGCGGGCGGCCTCTGCTTTCCCGCCACGGGCGCCCATGTCGTAACTCTTGGGGATTTACTGCCTCTTGCCGAACAAAGCAGCATCGTCTCGGAAGCATGTTTGCCCTTCTCTGCGTCGGTTGCCTTCGGCAAACGGCTGCTAGCTGCGCTCAAGGTCACTTGTCGCATGGCATGTGCCGAGGACGGAGGAATCATGATACTACACATAAATACATACGTGCCAGACATCATGTGGCAAAAACAGACATTAAGGACTCCCGCACGTTTCTGACGCAGGGGCAGCCACACAACAGACAGGGGTAGGTAGCCCATGTCCACTTTGGAAAATGAAAGACGGCGTCAATCCGAAATGAGGGGCAGATATGAATAGTACATGAGCACTCCGTACCGGGTTTGGTACGTACCTAGGTACTTAAGTACATACATACAACATCATCGGCCACAACGTCACCAGACTCTCAGACGCGGACAATGCTTATAACATGCCTTGGCTTCACAATAGCAACTGTCCACCACGTACCCGTCGTGACCATGCCTGAGCCCCAAAGAAAGCACTATGGATATCGTCCAACCTACCCCGTAGACACCAGACAGACCACAAAACAATGTCATTGCCGTCAACGCCCGCTATCACAAAAAAAATCCAGACCCCCCTATACGCCAAAGAGACACCGAGACCTGATCCAAGACCCGACTACTCATACAAGAAATCTGCAGATCCCCGCCCAGCAAATATCACGCCCGATACTCAATCACAAACCGTCGCTCCACCTGTTGAAGTGTCGTCGAGTCGTTTTCCCCCTCAAACTTGAGAGCCACGCGCCCTTGGCTGTCCATACTGTGAACCTCGGCCTTGTAAAATGTCGTCGTGTTGGGATACAAGGCCAAAACCACCTGCCCAGACTCCCAGTCCTTGAGGGTACTCGCTTGGCTCTCGGGCGTGATTGGAATCATGCTGCTTGCGCTCGTCCGGTACTCCTTTTGTTTGCTTTGGTCGTCGGGCTCGATATCCAGTACCTTGTACCGCCGGCTCTTGCCTTCGCCTAGAACCTGAGCCACTTCACCCATTATCCAATCCGACACGCCTTCTCCGCCAGTCCTGGGCTTGAATGCCACCGCATCACCCTTGGAAAACACTACCTTGGACTTGTTGCTAGCGGCGGCGGCGGCGGCGGCAGCAGAACCAGAAGCAGCCGATCCTGACGCTCCGCCACCATTGCCCGTTCCCGACGAGCCCTGAGGCTCTACACTGTCGGCCTTGGGAGGCATGCTGTCTCTATCTCGGTTGCTGGAGCGGTCGCCGTATTTTCGCGAAGAACCACCAATAGGGCTGGGGACCGGAGAGTCTCCAGCTCCGTCAAAATCGTACAGCGAAGCGGCTGCTGCTGCTGCACTGTCTCGCGCATTTCGTTTCCCCGTGGGTGCGGACGAACCGCCCTCGGCCTGCTCCTTGGCGACAATAACGGCGCGCATAATCTTAAGCTGCTCCATGACCGCCTTGATACTAGCGACGTTTGCCTCGGAGAACTTGACGCCATTGCGACACAGCTGCTCCATCTGTTTCAGTGAATCGTTGGGGATCTTTTCCGGGTCGGTGGCGCCGACTTTCTTGTCCATGTCTACCAGCTCCGAGAGGTTGTCATTCTCCGCATTGATGCCGGATACTATCTCGGCGAGCTGGCTCTTGCACGAGTCCCATATCTGGGCCTCCTCTCCGTGAGAATTGTTGCCATTGCTGCGGTTGGACCCGCGTCCACTTCGGTTGCGCTGCGACATGATGCCACTGCCTGGGCTGCCCGTGACGCCGCCTCCGCTGTTGGTGCGGTTGTGGTTGCTAACCGTGTCGACAGAGTCGGAGCGAGGAGAGGGTCGATGGTAGTAAGGGCCGAGGTCTTCTCGGAGGTTGTCGAGTTCGTTGCGGCGCTGTCTCTTTTTGTCAGTCATGATGAGGTCCAATGTCAATGGCTGGTCCCAATTTATGTCCGCAACTCGGGTCCAGCAGTGCTCGTCTTGTAAAGCTGCCGTCTCGTCTTCCTCCCCCGCCTTTTTTTTTGTGTGTGTCCCTGGCGCGACGCTGCAGGGTCAAACCGAAGCAGACAGAGCCGAAGCAAAACGCAACCAAGCTACAAAGACAGCAAAGGAGGGACAGGAAGCTTAAAATCCAATATTTAAAAACTACAGAATTCGAGGCAATCGACGCTTTCTCTTTGCGGGCTGCTGCAATGTGCAAGGTGCGCACCAATGCAACTGATGGTGTAACAAGACTCGGTAGTTGCTCGGCTTCAAATCAGAATGTAAAGAGCATGCCAGCCAGGTATGCATGCAGCAACGAAGCCAAGGTAAAGCGCACATGCAGGTAGAAAATGCGAATGCATTGATGCGAAAGGATGCGAGCCGAGATGTAAATTGTGTGACAGAAAAGCAATTCAATGGATGCAGGAGGGCAGAAGATCAAAGCCAAAAGTCAAAAAGAATGGAGGCAAAAAAAGAAAAGACGGTCAACATACGTTTTCTCGATGGTAGAAAGTGAAAGCGCAAATGGCTGGGCCTAAAGCTCAGGAGCTTGTCGATTGGTTTGTATGGATGGCAAGACGCAATCAAGCTGGGAAGCTGCACACAAGACTCGGCACAGGCAGTCTGGTTGCTCCGTACTCTGTTCAAATGCTGCCGTTTCCCACTCAGCAATCTGGTTCTTCTCGGTCTGTCCCTGCTCGAAGCGCAACCGTGGCAATGGCAACGCCAACGCCAACGCCAGAAAATGTCACGGTAAATGACCCACGCCCGGCCAGGGCTATTGCGGAAAGAGAAAGGGCGGGCTCGCTGCTGCACTGCGATGGAGCCACGCGACTCGAATAAATCGGAGACGGAAACGGAGACGGAAACGCACCCCGCTGTAGGTAGCTGTCGTCCTCGTCGCGATGGAAAGTCGAGGTCAAGACGGGAAAGGCAGGCAAGGTCAACAAGGGGGTGCGAGGTCAGCGTTTATAAATATTGCTTTGCACAAAAGGTGTGAGGTGTCGAAAGAAAGGTGGGAGGGGCAGAGAGAGGCACCAGACACGAGGCCGAGCCTAAAAATGATGTCAAGGGATACAACGCCCACATTGTACTCGGTACTTTGTGCCCTGCTGGCCCCAAGTCTGGTCCGCTGTCGGCCAGTGAAATGCCCCGACCAAGACAAGACGGCAGTTCGGAATTCAATCTTGTAAGCTGGGCCACTTGACCAACACATTTGAGCACCAGACGCACCAAGTATCTAGTATCTAGGTACTCTGTACTTGCCCGCATGTGTTCTAACTTCTGGGGCACCGCACTCGACCCGGCCACCCGTCAAGTCAACACCATGACATCGTCTCAGGTCATAGTAGCAATTTCATACGGCATTATAATAGTAGTGTATCGTCCCTTTTTTTTAAAAACTCCTTCCATTATATCCCACCCATCACATCCGTCAGCATCACAACCTCTCCCTTCCCCCTTCCACCTCACAAAACGCCTTGAATGTAATAAACTCTTCCCCGTCCGCCTCGAGCACACACTCCGCCGTCGAACCCACAAAGAAGACGTATCCTTCTTTAATCTCATGGGCCGTCGGTCCCACGCTAATTCTCCCCTTGCCATTCGTGCAAATCAGAATGCTAGGTCCCTCCAGCGGCTCAAAGGTAGCCTTCGCCCCGGGCCCCTTTAGCACCGCCCTGACGACAGCGAACTCGTCAATCGGCGGGTCGTACAGGTCTACTGCCGAGCCGGAGCTGTACGCCGCGCGGTTCATGGTCGCGTAGGGATAGTCCGTAGGCGTCATCTTTTGCTCGTCGATGGGCGCGTAGTTGTAGGTCAGCATGTCGACGAGCGTCGTGACGTCTTTGAATTTGGGCGTAAGGCCTGCCCGGACCACATTGTCTGATGCCGCCATGCACTCGATGATGTCGCCCGACAGGTAGGCGTGGATGTCGTCCGCCACAAGGAACAGCGCCTCTCCGGCCTGCAACTTGACAAAGTTGAGGAAGAAGAGGACAAATATGCCAATGTCCTCTCCAAACTGCCCGTGGAGACGCGTGACAAGCTCCGACAGAACCTCCCCACTGGTAGATTCGACACCTCCCGAAGCAAACTCGGCGCCCTGCGACTTGGCCAGCCCGACCAATTTGGTAATGCCCTTGGCAACATCGTCCGCCGAAGAGGCCATGAGCGTCCCAAACGCCTTCTTGAGCGCCGCCTTCTTAGCGCCCTCGTCATTGCCCTTGACAGTCTTGACAAACTCTCCGCTCACCTCGTCGCCAACCAACTCCCTCAACGGTCCTACAGTGTCCAAAAAGTGGGCAATCTCACTCAAAGGCCTAAACCCACAGAGTCCCTCAAAGGGCGTAATGGCAATAGCCATTTCCGGCTTGTGATTATCATCTGGGTAGTTTTTTGGATCCCTCGCGTGTAGCTTCTCGGCGAGCTTCTTATTGGGATGGGCCTGGATCGAGAGGCCCTTGTTGATGGACAGGACTTTGAAGAGAAAGGGCAGTTTGGCACCGTACTTGGCTGACACGGATGAGGAGAGGAGCTGCTGGTTCTCGGAGCAGAGTTCGAGGAGGGTTCGGCCGGTCTTGAGATCTTTGGAAGGGTTGGAGGGGTGGGTGCCCATCCAGAGCTATCAACTCGATTAGCACTCGTGTCATCTTCTGTAGTCGCGGTCCGACGGCCTCATGCGTCGTACCTCTGCGTATGGCTTGTCGGCCTGGATGCTCAGCTCGTCCGACGGCGTGGCAGCCGCAAACCTTGCGGCGGCAGATTGGTTGCCCTTTTTGCCCCATTCGTACGAATTGACGCCGCACTGGAGGCGGAAGAGGGGGACTTGCATGGCGATGTTGACGATGTTGGTGTCCGCGGTGGTGTTTGACAGTCAGTGAAAGGCACTAGAGAAGGGCGGGTATTACTGTTGGATGTCGAGGAGGGGAAGAAGGGAGAAGGAAACGGAAAGGAAAGGAAGCCCCAAGGCGAAGGGGCACGTCTAATTCCACAAACTTGGCAACTTGGGGACGGGTCAAGCAACACGAAGCCAAGTTGTGAAGCTTCCCCTCATCGTACCCCGCCACGGATTGCATCGCTAATACGTGGGTGTCTGAACGCGGGCAGGCACGCTGCCCAAACAGGAATGGGCCTCGACATTGCACCTCGACATGCAAATCCAATCCGCCTTCACCAGCCTCTTTGCTTGATCCATCTTCACCAATCCGGTCCGGCCAATATGCGTCAACCATTTTATCAATTAGCTATTCTCTACCACAAGACGGAGCTCCTGCAATACTTAGGTACATAGCCACGCCACGCCAAGCCACGCCAAGCCACGTCTTCATCTTGAACCAGGCCCCAGATCTGGCTCCCATGTGGCCAACACCGTGCTGTACCACATCCTAAACCACATCCATCATCCATCGTCGTCGTCGTCACCATCATCATCATCTCCGCCTTTCCAATGTTCCGCGTGCAAGTCTTAGTAAAACACTGGGGTCTCGAGTCCGCAGTCTGCTCCTCGCATGGCCCAACGCCCAACATCTACCCGCCCAGCTCTTGCTATGACCTCCCGCGTCACGACTCCCAACATTTGCAAGCCCAAGCCCTCCTACTTCCCCATGTCGACGTCAGCTCTGCAGGGTTTCTTGTCAACAGATATAGCGCCTCCTGTGAATGTGACCAAATACATTAAGGCGAGTTGACCTTGTTCGAGGGAAGCCGTATCCAACGCCGAAGGTCTGCCACATGGCCAACTGCAGTTGAACCGAGATGCACTCTGCCTTTAGCGCTCAGTGAAGCGCCATGTGATGTCGCCTTCAAAAGTAGCTCGCCAGATCGAGACCCATGATTTTCCGTCAGGTAAGCTGAGCGCCGGCAGGCTTTCTATCCTTTTGACTGGCTCTCAGCTTGCAAAGATCCATGGTACCTCCGTCCAAATGGTACGCAAGACGCCGCCCAGCAATGATTTCGGGGTTTTTAAAATATGTGCAAAATATGTAAAATCAATGGCGGAAAAACACACCTTGAATCCGGGAGGCCGACCCGACCCATCTCCCCAGATTCGATCCTGGATGTCCACTCTTGTTCAGCTGTGAAGGCCGGCAGAAGCGCTCCCTCGACAGTTCATGGTGCCATTTTCCGTTGCCAAAATCCCTCCGAGGTACGATCCACGACCCTGGACAAGATACTGTTGGTCGTCCAGTACAGGAACGTTTCCACCTTCTGGCGTGGTATCCGGGTATCGGTAGGGGTACCCCGGCAGAGAAGATCTCAACGAAGTTCCCTGTCCAAACTCGTCTACCGGCGGGACAGTAGTATACATGTCCGTGCTACGATCCATAGAGCCTCCATGATATGGAGCCAAAGCACTGGTATCGTACGCGTGATAGTGACTTCCACTGATATCCATCAGTGCGGAATGGTCTGTCCCATTGGAGACGGCCGGGGTTCGGCGGCCAATGGTGCTCACAGAGCCTGGTCGGGAGCGCCTCGAGGACAAAGGTGCCATCTTGTCCGCATTGCCAGCGGTTGATTCAGAGTAGCAAGAAACTGCGCTGCTAAAAGAGTAACCGGCATCTCCTGCAGACGCCTGTCGGCCTGGCGCATTGTTGTAGCCATAACCCCCACAGGCATCCATGTATGTCATGCTGTTTCCTCTCTCTACCATTGGATTGACCGGGGAGCGATATGATCCCATCATATACTGATAGTCACTGCCCTGCGCTCCCTGGTGAGTTGTCTCGAAATCCATGGGCTGGTCGTCACCATATCCATTCGTCCACTCCTGGACTTGGTGATACGGCTTCGGGCCGCATCCATAAGTCATGTCGCTCTGATCTCCCAGGCTGTCTTGCCCGACAAAGTTCATCATGTTATGTGTGTAGAGTGGCGGGCTTGCTAGAGCAGGAGATGCATTGGAATTCCGGCCGGAATACTTTCTCGAAACGCTAATGTTGTAGTTCAGGCTGGTCGATCGTACACCTTGGACTTCTTGGGAGGAAACCTATCCATCATGTAAGAATCATTCACCACACTACAGATTCAGGGCGACGTACTCTGAGGAACCGACATGGTTCAAATCCAGCATTTCTACAATTGGTGCATCCGTCTCCTGTGCCAGTGTCGCCGCTACATCGAATCTTTCGCTGCCGGCAGCGTCCACACTTGTCATCGCATTAGCCAACTATCCATGCCCTAACAAAGTCGGCCTCCCAACCCATGTGAGCTTACCGCAACAGCAATTCGTTTTCTCTGTGAGTTTGATTCGTCCATTTTGCCGCAGTCTGTAGAATAGTTCGTCTTTGCAGAGCTTTTTCACCCACAACAGTGGTGGGCGGGAAAATTGAAGTAGCGACGGTCAAGGATATGATCCAAATTCTCTGTTCAGGTCAAAGAAAGCAACTATGTTGCGACAGGGCGGATCTTTTCGTAAAGCTTGAGGGATAAAAACACGAGGGCTCAAAGAAGTAGACCCAATCGAAGTAGAGGCAGGCAACCAATGGTGCAACGAAGACGGCAGTGATGATGATGGTGTTATTGTTGCAAGATCAGCAGTTTGGTGTCACACATATGCTCAGCTTTTTTTCAAGATCGACACAAGCTTCCGATTGTGACAGCTGCCGATGTACGTGCAAATGAACGCCCAGAGAGACGGTCATTTGCAGTGGAAATTGACGAATATTGTCTCGGGTTGTTCAGAACAAGGGGAGAGATGGTGACAGACGAAAAACGCCAAAGAGGACGAAGAGGACGAAGAGGACGGGCAAAGCTTAAAGAATAGACGCCAGAGACTGTTGCAACCTCTGACAAGCAGGGTCCAGGCTGTTTAAGCCAGAAGTAATAAGCAGGAAGTAGCCAAGTTATTGCTGAGGCGAGGAGGGAGTAGCCTGGAGAGCTCGGGGTGTTGCGGCTATGCCCTGTTGTTATACGTCGGCCGTACGACGGGTGATAAGAGGTCCTGAAGGCACCCTGAGTCTGATGATAGCTTGTTTGTGTCCGCCGGATCATGTCCGACGCGTCCAATGGATTCCCATCCGATTGCACAACTCCGTCATCGCCCCAGTCTCTCCGATGTTTGTCACCAATGTTGCCCAACCACGGACCGGCCCTTCCTCGAAACACGGCATCCATCAACTCGCTCAGAGGCAAATTTGACTAGCTGGTGCTTATGGCTCCCCCTGTTCATTATCTCGTTTGTCTTGACTGCAAAGGGCCTGCCGTCTCTGCTCCAAAAACAAGGTGGATGGGGCACATGGTCTGTTCATCACGGTGTTCCCGGGTGGTGGTTGACGGTTACATACATGCGGCAGGATGGCATGTTTCTATCATATGCCACACGGCATCAAGGCATGCTTCTTTGCGGCCGCTAGGAAATCCGGCGCCCTGCGCAATGTGAGCAAAAGCCCCGGTAGATCTAATGCATGACCCAGCAGATCGGCAGACGTAGATTTCCTTTGACATGCTAACATGCAATCTTGGTTGCAGAAGCAGCTATTCTGAGGGTGTATCAAGCAAGGTCCCGGAGGCAACATGAACCCGCCAGCAAAAAAAAGATGCCGAAAAGAGCGGATCATCTATCTGTTTGATACCCAGGTGAACCTTGATAAGCATTCACTCAGAAACACCCAGGAATCTCGCTTGAGGTAATGAAGGATGAGTACGTCATACCTGAGTAGTGCACCGCAAATCAGCATTTCTACGAAATATCGGTGTTGGTATATGCGTCTCTTCGGGGCGTCTCTTCGATTGCCAGTCTATTCATTGCCATGATTCTTTGGGGAAATGGTTACACAGCCTGGGAAGAAATCATCTTGAGGAATATTGTTTGTCTGGTATACAAGTAGACCTTGGCCTCAACAAAGTGCTGCAAATTGCACTCACGATAGAATCAGCCGGGTGGCGCTGACACAGAGACTAAGCTGAAGTCTGGATATTGGCAGCAATGCTGGTCCGTGAGCAAACTCGGCAGATGTCAAACACCCCTCTATGCACCAAATGCCAGTAAGTGTCGGTGTGTCTTGAGACGTGCCCTGGCTGTCCATCCACACCAAGACTGTCGATGTGGTTACACAGGCCACTGGCCCAAGCCTCATGTGCCAATGCTTCAATGCATTCTCCGTACGGAGTACTGGCTGAAGACCAAAACGTGTTGTCATCTTCTCCTGTCTCGTCCAAATCGTTCATTTCGTTTGCAGTGTTCTATTCTTGGTGTAACTGTTTTGACCACGAAGCTCGGATATAGGGGTTTTTTTTTTTACTTTTTTTTTTCTCTTTCGAGGACGTGAGAAAAGTGGCAAGAACAGACCGCGTGGGCGTTGTGTTCCGTAACTGACAACTGATGGCCAAGCTTCGTTAGATACTTCATCGCCAGGGCACTCATCTTGTGCGAGGTGTTATCTGCATTTGCCATCGCTCTGGCACGTGCGAGCCATGCAGATGGGCCAAACACGGAGCAAGGGGTAAGAATGGAGGCTTGTCACTGCTACATATGGAAGTACGCCATCATTGTTCCAGTCGGCGTCCATGGCCACTGAACGAAGAATAACGCGGGTAATCCGAGAAACCTACATACTCGCCCAAAACGCTGAACCGAGATGAGGCTCTTGGAAACAAACACTGACAGCCCCACACCAGGTACTGAGAAGGAATGTAGGCAAGATTGATTTCGTCTGTGCAGCAGGATTCGCTGTCCACTCGGTCTGAAGGTTTTGCCCTCCTGCCAGGGATTACTGCATGCTCGCGGTTTGCCGTTCAGAAGAAAAAACAGCTTCTCGAGGCTAAGGGGCATGCCTCATGAAGCGACACGGACGAAGTTGAAAAAGCAGGGCCGATACTGTCATCGTACAAGCATGAAGGGTGGCGCACCACCACCAAGGGATAACTAGGGCCCCCCTAGTCAGGCTTCTGCCGCCACAGCAATTTGTTCCTTCTTGTAGTTGTATCAGAGGCTAGCTGGATCGAGGATTCGACCAGGGTCGAGGTTGTTTTCGAACCATGGAAGCAGGATCCCAGGTCAGTCTGGGCTAAAAGAGGTTCGGGAACAACGGTGGCTTCCGCAGCCACCATGCACCCACATGCAAAACAACAGGGGAAGCTTCTGGGTACGGAGTACGGAGTACTAGGTTCGTAATTGAAAACCGGGGGGTCGAGGGTCTGCATGTATGTCATCACCGCCATTCTATTCTCGGCTAATCTTGTTCGGAAAAGACGTTGCTGGCCATCCATCGCTGCAGGCGTAACAAGCTTGGCGGCCTATTCATGCGAAACTCGATGTGAGGCTGCACGCCAGGGCAGAAACATCGTGTAAACTTATTTAGCGTACGTCCTGTATCCAAACAGCTTTGAGCTACACAAACCAGGGTTGGCCACGCCTGGAGGCTCTTCCGATGCCTGTCAAAGATCGCTAGCGGTATCCAAATTGAGATGTTGTGTCAATGTTGCCACAGCTGGCCACCCTGATTTCGATTGTTGATGGTGCTTTGGGGTTGACGTCCTGGAACTATCAAGTTGACAGATTTCGGCAATATGCAGTTGGCCGCCCTGGTTATCCGGACAAGCAAGCTTACATGGGGACATGTCCGCTGGGGCGGACTTGAAATGTGACGATTACTAAATCTCTTCCATAGATTGTAGTAGTAGTAGTAGTAGTGCTAACTCGGTCGGCTACCCCAGACTCGGTGAATCCAGGGCCCAGAAGCTATTGAGCGGCTCCGCAGTTGTCTCGGTATGATGACGGTTTCTCGCCAAATCTTCTTGGTTGCTGCAGTACGGTAAACATGGCCCTTCAACACGCAGCCCGCCATATTCCTGAGAAGTGTTCTGAGGGTCGTTTCTCTTGGTAAGCATTCAGTCATCCCTATTACAAGGAAGATTTTGAGTGCGGTCCTAGTATCCCTTTGATAAATAAGCCGGACAAGCTCTAGCATGATGTCATATTGACCACTTATCCGACACGAGCATGCACTTGTTTATATTTAGACTTCAACATGCATCACTCGGTGCACTACACGAGGGCTTAAGCTATCCGATATGGAGCAAGAACAGTACTGAACCTGCCAATAGAGTGGGAAACTCTGGTGTTTTCGGGTGCCGTGGGCCGCGTCTGGTAATTCGACTAGGGCTGCTGCCAGCTTATGCCGAAGTTTCGGAAAGACTGGGGGCCAAAACCAGCAGTCAGGGGATGATTTCGTCTGTCTTTCTCGCTTGTCGGCGATTCCAAGCCGCTGGGTGGCTCAGTTTGTGAAACATAGCCTGGTGCTGGCAAAATTGCTCGGGTCCCCGACGCAAGATGCTGAGGTCACATGTGCCTTTTTTTTTTGTCTTTTTTTTTTATTCTGCGATGTCTTTTTGATTGGTGACTGCTCGAAGTGTACAAGACTCGTCACAAGCCAATTTGGCAAGGCGTTTGCCATGTTTGCATAGGCGGTCAGAAAAGCAGATTTTCTGGCCACCTTGCATGGTGCAGTGAGGCTTGCTCCAGACAATGTCCAGAGTGCGCGACGTAGCACGAATACCACTGTCGTGATTGGGTATTGACGAGTCGAGTCCTGAGCATTCAAAATTCCCCTCGAGGAACAACGTTAGATGTCGAGCAATACATTTGTCTCGTAAGACGCGACCAATGTGTATCCCTAAGTTGTAGATTCATTTCATCGTCTTGGACGATACGAGTCGTCACGGTGTTCTTTGTTTTTGTCTTGGTGTTCATCTCGATCCCTATCCCTGGCTCTGTGCCTGTATCTGTCCTTGTCGTTGTACCTAGGATTTCGATCTCTACGGTCCCATTCTCTCATGTCCCCATGACGATGGACGTCCCTCCGGCCCAGCTGCCTATCGCGACTTCGTTCTCGTATGCGCGGGCTGCGGCTTCGAGCGCCTTGATCATTTCGCCGACCTTCTCCCACTGACGAGGGATTCTCTCCTCGAATGTCCCTTCGTTCGCTCCGCTCATGACGTCCCTTCATCTCCTCATCACCATAAACCATGCCGTAGTTATTTTTCTGTGGCGCGTCTACTTCAGCTCGGTATTGCCTTCTCTTTTCCAGTTCATCAACACCGCCCCAACCACCACGCGAAGCATTTGCCCGTCGTTTGGTATTTGTGTCCTTTCTCCAAACATCGCTCAGTTTACTGACACTCTGTGAGAAATCAACGTGAATTCTTCGATCATCTATCAAGACGCCTTGCATTTTGAAGTAAGCGGCTTCGCAGGATGCTTTGTCTTCGTACTCTATGAATGCGTATTGTAAGCTGTCTCCTGTTTTGGCGTCTCG